GGTACCCATCACAGACCGTGACAGAGAATCGAGGGTACCCATCACAGACCGTGACAGAGAATTCAGGGTACCCATCACAGACCGTGACAGAGAATCCCGGAGACCCATCACAGACCGTGACAGAGAACCGTGGTACCCATCACAGACCGTGACAGAGAACCCTGGTACCCATCACAGACCGTGACAGAGAATCGAGGGTACCCATCACAGACCGTGACAGAGAATTCAGGGTACCCATCACAGACCGTGACAGAGAATCCCGGGGACCCATCACAGACCGTGACAGAGAACCGTGGTACCCATCACAGACCGTGACAGAGAATCCAGGGTACCCATCACAGGCCGTGATAGAGAACCCTGGTACCCACCACAGACCGTGATAGAGAAGCTGTAGTTGTAAAAGATCAGATAAACGGTTAACTACAAATATGTCGCAAAGGAACGGAACAAAAGGATTTCTATTTAATTAGTAACAATAGATTCATCGTGTTTCACATTTTTAATCCCGCAAGGGATTGCGCTAACAGCTTTTTTATTGATCTTTCACTCTTTAAAGGTTCATGACCGGTTTCAAACTCTTAAACCCTATAAAAAGGCTTTATAAAACTTTGAATAGAAACCGTTCAATTAAGGTTCTATGATGGGATACTAAAACCCAGAAAATATTTTTGAAAAGATTCTTTGCTCAAGAAAGGGTTTGTGAATCGGTTGAAAAATCTTCAACAGCATTTTTCTACACGTTCATGAAACCCATAAAAGGGTTTTTTACAAGAAAAATACGATCACCAAAGGGTATTTTAATCGGTTCATAAACTCACGAAAAAATCTTAACTCGAAAATTTGAAAAAATGGATGGATTTCGATGTGCACTAGCTCAGTCGGACTGTGTACCAAATCGACTGGTACTCAGTTCCTCAGTTAAGACGGGGACTAGTGTATATCTAGTGATGACCATTTCCATGAATTTTCGACTAATGGCACAAGTTTTATGGTTAATTGTATGAAGGAATTTCCACCTGAGGTTTTGCTCCACAATTAGGTTTCACGGTCCTTAAGGGGGCCCCTCTCTCAGCAAACGTATTTTTTCGAAGAAAACTCGAAGTTGAGATTTCATCATAGGAAGATGCGCCGAAGCCTCCTCTTTCAGAAAATATTTGCCTTTTTTCAAAAAAGGCCAGGTTTTAATAAACTCACCAAAGGAGATTGAGGACCTACCATCATGTTTTTCGAGACATTTTCGGAAGCCTTTTAAAAACGGAAAAACGTTGCTTTTCTATTTTAATACATTGTATTAAAAAAAACAAAATATACCAGAAGATGCAGCGTGAAAAGCTCTACAATTTGTATAATGCGACTTATTCTATAGTTGCACTTTTTGTTTTAAAAATCGACAAAATTCTGAAAATATGCTATTTTCATATGTTGTTTTTTGAGCTTGAATAAAAAATCCATTTCTAAATTTGTTTTTCGTTTTTCTCAAAATCAATTTTTTCGAGTTTACCGTTTACGCGGGGAAGAATTTCTTAATAATGACTCACTAGAGAAGGGATAATTTTTTTTTGTTGAATAGAAGACAGTTAGGGCTAGATCCTCAAAGGCTCCGATTTTTGAATTTCTCTTTTGCTGAAATAAAAAACCCAGATGTTTCATATTTATTAGCGCTTTGAATTTGGAAATTTTTCGAAAAAGTATTTTAAAAAATGAAACAAAGGAAAATTCAAAAATCGGAGCCTGTGAGGATCTAGCCCTAAGGTCACTCTACAATTTAAAAATCACCCCGACATGATTAGCTAGTAATTCCATTGTGGAAACCTTCCCCGCGTAAAGGGCAATGAATTGACTAGAACTTGTGCATATCTTTGAGATTTGGGGGAGATATTTTAACCATAAGCTATTCTAGTCAAGACTAACATTCTCTGAAATTTTGGTTGAAATCGGATGAGAAAATAACAAAGTTCGTTTCTGAAGTGGGCCTTAAAACATTCTAAAAGTTTCGACCAAAATGGATGCTTCCTTCTTGCCATATTGAATGTTCAAGAAGCGATCGTATTTCACAACAAAGTAGACATGCAACAAATCCAAACTGTTTGAGCTCGAATATATCGGGGTCGACTTGAAGTCCCGATTCGAGCTCAAAGCTCGATTGAGTTCGAACTCGAATATACATACTCGAACTCGATCGAGCTCAAACATCAAAAGCTTGAATTCGATCAAGCTCAAACACCAAAAGCTCAAACTTGATCAAGCTCAAACTCCAAAAGCTTGAATTCGATCAAGCTCAAACTTCAAAGTTCAAGTTTCGATCGAGTTTTATCAAGCTCAACGATGGATGAATAAAGAGCTACTTTTCTATGAATCAAGAACAGTAGCTGATAGAGGCGCATAAAACAGAAATCCTGTCAAATCCAAACATAAGATTCGACTGCATTTGGGTTTGAGTTTGACTAGATTTGACTTGGATTTCACTAGTGAATTAGAACCACCCAGGCATTCAAAACTGGTAAAATAACATGTAATAACGCCTCAAAAATGTACCCTTTTGGGTGTGGGTGTGTGGGTGTGGTTGAAAACGAGACCCACACCCTACACCTACACCCACATCCCACATCCACATCCACAACCACCACCCACACCCACACCCTCAGAAACGATTTCCCACTTGGGATAGTACATTTGAGCTGAAATTTTCAGGGATGACTTATTCTAGTGAGATACGCTTGTGTTAAAAATTTCAGTCCTATAAATCGTACTAGAACTAAGTTTTAGCTTATTCATGACCAATTTTTGGAATCGATATAACTTTCTCACGACACGTGCTATAGAGATCGAGGTGGTTTCAAATTAAAGCTAATGCAAGTGCGCAAATTTTGTCCGAACAGAATTTTGAAATTCAGTCTCATTCATTTTTATGAACATTTTTGGTGGCATGGTCTAAAAATCAGCATAAAAAATGGTGGCCCTTCGACAATAAATCCCACTTTTCTCAGGCTATGAACCAACTATAAAAAATCCGCTCGGACAAAAGTTTACTCTCATTCAGACCGTTAAAACAAAAAGAGCATCTATTATACTCCGAGCCAGGATGGAGTCATTCCAATTTTCCTGTCTGGAAACTGTATTTTGAGAAAAACGCTAAAGAAAGATTAGAACTGGATTTTTACGTTCAAATCCAGAAAAAATCATATTACAATGGTATATTAATAATTCATTCCAATGAACCGTTTTAAAGCACGTAAACGATGTAGGTAGCGAACGCCATCTGACATGCTGGGTAATATAAAAATGTTCTACTCAGTATTAATGTAAGTGGCAACGCAGTTTTTCCAAAACTGAAAAACTTTAAAAACCACAAAATTTTCTCGGAAAATATGGTGGTAGAATCAAAGTTTGATGTAATAAGTTTTTGAAAATCTGATTATTTTCCAAAAAGCTATATATACTCTGGAAGAGGAAGCTTCGCTGCATCTTCCTATGATAAAAACTCAACTTCGATGTTTCTTTGAAAAATTGGATTTTCCAAGGGGGCTCTTAACAAGAGAAGTTTTAGATAGTTTTCTATAATGAGTAGTGTTATATGTCACATTCGCCATAAAATCATATGATATTTTCAAATATGATTCGAAACACTTCGAAAGCAAAGAAATAGGTTGAAAATGTGTTGTTTCACAATCTTACCTTTATAAGTAGAAATTATTGACTTTTTATGTGATAGCTACGATGAAAATTTTCCTCCTTTTTACATCTAATAGTAGATTGTCGCGGAAAAACTATCTGTCACTAGAAAAAAACTATGTTCTTCTTTCTTATCCGAGAAAAAGTAGCGTAAACAAGAGAGCCTCAGCGAGTATTTTTTTTCTTTCCTCTCACTGGGAACGGACGGTGTCGAATCATCTTTGAACGCGTAATTATATGGGCTGTTTTCTGAAGCTTGCAGTGGGAATTTTCCAATTAAACAGAAAAAAAGCAACTGACAAACATATTGTGAAATGCAGTTAAATAACATGGAAAAGATCATTATTTTTGTCCATATATTCGATACATACGCATAAACTTAAAATAACAAAACGTGCCTGTCAATAATGTCCGTGTTTTGAAATCAAACAAAGATATAATATGATTATTACACGATATTGAGATTTCATCTTATAGATACCGTACTGATATGAACAGTTTCAATGTATAATTCTCTATTAATAATCGTATATTTTTATATTTCTCCCCATGATGAAGAAATTTGAATGGTTCTTTCTGTATTATCTGATTGTGTTTTAAACTAAACAATGGTTTTGAGCAAAAATAAGAGTATTTTATGTCATTCTTTCTCCACTTCTGTTATACAGTTCATTCTGTATGAGTTGATATTTCCGATGAATTAAGTAGTTTGATTACGTTTTTTAGCAATGAGTGATAAGAGAGCTCGAGAACATACGCAAGATAACATTTTTCCTAATAGCGAGACAAATAAAAATACAAATTTTATGATGAAAACATCGAAAAAAAACCGCAAAGTGCATAATTTGAGGTAATCTCAGTATTGCACAAGAAAAATGATATATGTCGTATTTTTTATTCCACTATTACATGAAAGTTCTATGTTTGTTACTGAACAAGAATCTCAATGCAACAGGCTTCTAAAGTATGATAAACTCTGTATGAATGTATTTCATGTACGAAAAAGAAATTTTTGTTGAAATTCAAAATAAGAGTTGAAAATATCTTCACTTTAGTTCATTCGAATAAATTGTTTTCTTTTTTTAGTAAGTGATAGTTTTTTCTTCAGATGAATAATGGAAGACAATACTACTACTCACTACCATTGTTGACATCACTAAAGATTCGAGCTATTGTAAAGAAAAAAAAATGTATAAATGATGTTCAACATTAATTTTCGCTTGTCACTGAAGAAAATAAAAGAAATCGAAAGAAATTATATTCGTCTTATAATAATGCCAGTACAATAAATATCCAGAATAAGTTTTGTTTGAAAGCTAACGGTTAAAGTATTTCAAATTTTGAAGCTTATAATACTGATTTTTGTAAGGATTTACTGACGTAGTTCCTCAAACGTTTCCTTTGTACGTTTTAGTTATTGAATCAAGACGTGAAAACTGAAACTACATTATCTTGAAAATTTACTCTATGTGCGTCAATGTTATATTATTGATACGCTTTTTTAAATTACTTCCTTTTATTCTTTCAGGTGACAACTAAAAATTATACTCGAGCGCTACACCTTTATTTTTCTTCCTTGACAACAGGACGACTTTCTTCAGTGAAGTCTGCAATAAGCAAAAAACCACTTACTTTCAATGAACTGAAGCGAAGATATTTCAATTTTTCATCGGCAAATTACTTACGATCCATCTCGCATATACTAGCGTAGACATTTGCATTTCTTTCTTCTATTCTCTGGAATGCAAAATAATATATTAAGCTGTTGAAACAACGTCATGGTTTTTTCTTGGATATAGACCAATAGAAACTGTCAAAATTTTTACTTATTTTTACGACACTCTGAATAAATAATTTAAAATATACAAGGATGGGTGTGAAGTGTATTTGTATTCTGATCATTGACATCCATACGGCAGCACCCACGGTATGTGTTAGCATTTCTCTTTCGTAAGAAAATCCTGGCTATTTTTATAGATTTTATCATAGTTGATTGTGGGTTGTATTCCGCATCGGTGAGAGGAAACATGTTCTCTTCCGATATTCTCGAAACAACATAGATGGTCTATTGTCCAGCGCAAAGAGTGTATCATTTGCATACATTGAAGGTGTCTAGTGAGTCATGCAACGGAATATAAGACTCGTTTTTATTAAAGTATGATCTTAGTCAAATAATTCATAAATGAATTATTTACATAGGATGTTAGCTTATCATAAAATTATTAATGAAGTCTGTGTTGTTCATAATGCAAGCTCTACAGAAGAAGAAGAATTAATGTAAAATATTTAGCAATATACTGTAGTTTACTCTCATATTTACGATCGTACCATTTATTATAGAAGTACACTCGGTCGTAGAGGCCATTCACAATTGAGGTTCATTTTTGGAGCTGGTTGCTGAACACCAAAAGTGGCCATTGATGGCGTCAGAGGATGGCTTTCCTAATTGTGGTGTGTGCGTATAGGTGAGTGTGTGGATGTGGGCGTGGGTAATGATATGAGTATCAGTGTAGGGTGTAGCCGGGTGTGGGTGTGGGTATAACTCTTCTGGATACCCTGTTACAGTGTATTCTACCTACAGACACCTCGATACTATCTATTCTCTTTTCTTTGATGTTTTCGTTTCTATTGCTTTTCTTTGACCTTGATTAACCTGTGTATTCTTTTCTATTTTGTCCTTATTTTTCATGTACGTATATAAATGGGTGTGGGTATGAGGAGGATGTGGGTGGGTGTGGTTGTGGGTGACGAGTGTGGGTGTTCAGAAAAAGCTATATCCACACCCAGGCCCACACCCACCCACACCCTACTTTCCGTCCCGACTTTTGGGACACCCTGTAGAATACTTACAAGGGAGAAATTATCCATCCATTTCTACATTTATACACAAAAGTCATTAAGAACAGTGACTGATAACTATTTGTTTATATTCATCTTTCTCATTTCTTCTTCTCTTTAAAGGAGAACGATTTGTCGTCGGATTGAATGCACCTGCAAGAACAGTGAATGATTGATTTATGTTTATTTCCTTTTTTTCCATTTCTCCTTGATATGTACAACTTTTTGTGAGCAGAACTATTTTCGCATACACGAGAAACAGATTGGTTATCGATTGTCCACTGCTGTCAGCAATGGATCAATCAGGTGAGGTCTTGACGGAAATTTTCGAAAACGATATTTGTGAAGCTATTTTCTTTTCGATCCAAACTTTTAACATAACTAATCGATAGAAAAAATTCTTTTCTTTCAATTTACGCAAGATCGACATTTCTAGTTTGTTCCATTAGAGAACTATAAGACTTTTTCTAAGATCCCTTCCGATTGCAGTCAACTGACCTATAATCATCCCAGAACGCAGCTAGGCAGGGATAATTCACCATGCTAAGTCACATGATGATATTTGTTCTTAGGTTTGAACTGGTCTGACATTGTATTCTCAATATTTTAGAAATGTTGACTCCTTCGTTGCAAGGTTGTTTATTTAATTTCACAAATATTTTAGATAATTTCGAATCCAGAAACAAATATCACCATTCGACTCAGTACGATGAATTGGTCCTATCTAGCTGCTTTTCCGGATGATCACAGATCAACTGACTGAAATCGATGGTCTTAGGAAACGTTTTATAATTCTCGAATGGAACAAGCTAGAAATGTCGACCTTGTGTAAATCGAAAGAGAAGAATTTTTTTGTATCGATTAGTTCTACTAAAAGTCTAAATCAAAAGAAAAATAGCTTCAGAATATCGTTTTCGAAAAAATTTATTAAGAACTGACCTCATTGGTCAATTGCTGATCAATGAAATTCCCATATACTTCAATGGTCATGTGTCTTCTCTTTTGAATGAAGAAAATCTTAGGTTTCTATGATGTTTCTATCAAAAGTTATTCAAACAACAGTGGAACATAGTATATTTTGAAATAGATGATAGTTAGAGATAGAAGAAAATTGAATTCTTTTTTAATATAGTGAATATTATCTAGATTGATTTTATTTCTAATTATATATTTATGTTGGTATTACTACATTTGGATTAATTGTTTCTATAAAATCATCTTTCATATTATCATCGTCTCTTATCACATCATCTAACATATCAGTAATGAATTCAATTTCATCACGATCGTTTATTTCAAATGGATTATTTATTAGATCACGAGAAAAACTATTTAATGTATAAGCCATACCAATCATTTTTCTTTGTTGTATAGGACCACTCGGTAATGATATATGGGCGTCATCAATTGGCCTGATACCTCAGTACTTTTCATGTATTACATACAGCTTCTATAATATATCAGAAAACTCTGATTTTTTTACCAATTATAGTGCTCGTATAATGCTGATGTTCTGTCAGGGATACAGAGATCTATGTCAAATAATCAGCTGTCTTCGTAAAACCCGTTCGTAAATACCACAAGTTTTTTTGAAAACAGCTGATTATTTTGATTTCAAATCAGACATGGACTCAGGTATCCCTGGCAGGACATCAGCATTATACGAGCACTATAATTGATAAAAAAATCAGAGTTTTCTGATATATTATAGAAGCTACATGTACATAAAAAGTACTGGGGTATCAGACTAGTTGATCACGCCCATATGTTGAGCATCTTCATTTGTACGATAAATCAGGTTGTAAGTTGTTGTTGAATTAGAAGAATATATATCAGGTACATTATTAGTTTGTTTATCGTTTGTAGCAAAACTCGAATCAGTAAAAATCAATTTTATCTTGACTCACAATATCCATTGTTGGAGGATGAGCTCGAGAAATGGTAAGCTGTTTACGATCTGTTATTTATTTTCTTGCTCTGAAAACAAAAACTGTTTAATTGAAATTCTTTCTTTTTGTGAATTATTATTCAATTTTTGAACGAGAAAGCTTTCTAATAATATAAAAAATACACATGGAAAGAGAAATAATTAGATGAAGACTAATATAGCACTTATAACAGCAACAATAATTGTCCAATTTGTCGATGATAATGATGGTTGTGGACTTTTTGATGTTGTTGTTGTTGATGTTGTTGTTATTGTTGTTGTTGTTATCGTTGTTGTTCGTGTTGTTGTTGTTGATGTTGTTATTGTTGTTGAGGATGAAATTTCATTCGTTATTTGTTCAGTAGTGCTAGAGGATGAAGTCGAGCTGTGGGTAAGTGTTATAGTGGATGATGTGGAACTAGATTCTAAAATAGAAATAGACAATGGTATTTTGATACCTTTGAATGTTGTTTTGCTTGTATGAGTAACTAAGGCACTACTTGGAAAATTACTTGATGTTAAATGAATAGTAATTGTTGATTGCGTTGTATCTGTCACGGTCACTCATGTGGCTACACATAGTCAAAGAAAAATACTCTAACTATATCTATCTTCAATTTAAAAATGTGTTGTTTTTCAAAGATTGAGTTTCTTTACAATAAGATTATTCGTCACATTTTGATAAACTCTTGTATATTATTTTGCCTCATTGTTGTTGAGACTTTTTTAATAATATAAATACTTTTGACGTTTCTGCTGTTCTTTATACCATAAATAATTACAGTTTTCAAAATGAGACTGAAAGAAAAATATTACTCAACAATCAAAACTGGATACGCATCATTGGTTTTGTCTAAGCATTGATATTTTATGATCAAACTTTTTTTTTGAGAGAAAAAAATCTATTTAGATAGAGACTTACTGGTTTCTTCTGTAGTAATGCCACTGCCATCAGCATATCCTTCATCAGGAGTGGTTATTTGAAATGGTGAAATAAGATATTGAGAATTTATCAAACGATAATCTTTAAATAACAGTTGGTCTTGATCATCATTGTCAACTGGTGATTGAAAACGTTTATCGGTATCATCGCCATCTTTGATAGATAAGAATTCACGTATTGTTTTCGTTAAATCGGAATAAACATGTTGATTATTCTTATTAGCCCATTCAGCAGTATGTGAATTTAAACCTAAGAAAAGATCATAGTTACTTCATTAAGTAATTTTCTTTCAATGAAACCTTCTATAGCAGGGCCTATGCCAATTATTATAGAAAAATAAAAATAACTACTATCATGTGCAAAAATCTTTCATCAAGAATATATTATTTCATTTTGTTAATCTAGCTCTAGAAAAACAAATTAATATTGACTGGACATTTTTATACTTGCATATACATATAAAATAGATGCTGTCAATTAAAACCCTTGTGTTCTGCGATTAGAAATTTCTACGGAACAAATAATAAAAAATTAATTCAATTATATATATATATATATTAATACATAATAATTGAAACATTTAACACTGCTCATTATGTATCTATATGATTCTGATTTAATCATTATATTATTACCTTTTACAACAGAAGTTAAAATTGTAATTGAGATAAAAGATAATAACCAACTAGTTGGTTTTAATTTTATCGAATGCCTTCTATATTGGAAGTTCATGATCTAATAACAAATAGAAATAATTGGCAATTAAACATAAAATAATTGATTGAATAAGAGTGTGGAAAAAATCAGAAATATATATAAATAACTACCACAAATATCTACATATAAATGATAAGAAGAAAAAAAATAGAAAATCAATAAAAAGAATTGAAAAGTGAAACGAAAAATGACCAGACAGAGATAGAGCAAAAGAAAAACCTAGTCTATGAGATAATGGTGAGTGAATTCAGCATGAGAATAAGAAGAGAAAAGGAGAAATGTATTTGTCCTTTTTTGAAACTACTGGTTCTCGTCTATAATTGATTTACATACAACTGGGCTTATATGCGTATATGACATTGGGCCAGTATATTTATGTCGTCGGTTGTTCTGCTTATCACGTTATGGGCAATAAAATGGCTCTTGAAGAACTCCAATGCTATAAAAACGAATGATACACTATTCTACTAATCAAATAGACAATCAGTAAAAGAGGAAGTAAATATAAGGCAAAAAAAAGGTACCTTGTCAATACATTTCTTCAAATTGCATACTAATATAAAACACAAGATTATATATGGAGATTTTTTTTGCTTGATTCTTATCAACTTAAGAATAATTTACGAGCATTTTCGAAGACATTAAAATCATGAAAACTATCTACAGCCTACATTTATAATATTAAGTTGTTGTTCTCGAATCAATATCAGGTTTTTCTTTTCTTTTGGTATAAAACAAAAACAAAACAAGCATTGAAAAAATCATAAATAATTGTGAAGAAATGTTGTGAAAAAACAATTCCTACTAAAAACAAAAACATAAATTTGACGATTTTTCTCCTATTATCGTTTATCAAAATTAAATGAACAATATCTAGTTAAATACATATTTATTTACACATATATATGTAAGATTGGAAAAAATAATAATATGAATGAATACTAAAATTTATTTAACAAATTTCATCATCTATCATAAAATTTGCTTTCTTCAATATCTTGCATTTAAAAAAAGAAGTCTAAGAAGCTGACTTTTCTCAATAAACATCTAAGGTTATGTTTTAGATATTTAAAAAAAGTCCGATTTAACAATCATCAAATATAATTTCATTAGATTTACTTTTAGTCGTTTCTTCTTTGTCTTTATTTTTATTTAGTAAGCTTTGTGAATATACTCTTACGCCTTTAGATATGTTTGCCTTTAAGTTGGATAACCGACAAGTTCAAAAAAACAAGTGTGTTAGAGAAAAATTAATAATGATATGAACTAGTCAGTTTCTCTTGAAGAAACATTATTCAAAACAGCAATACAATGGATTAATACATACATTTGAGTAAGGTAAGGAAATAAGGAATTGACATTTTAAAATATCTTCTATAAAAAGTGCTTGAAAGAAAGAATAACAGTAGACTGATCATATTAGAATTTTTTTGTTTACCAACAGATTTTCTTTCATATTGGCGTAATATATATATATATTTGTCAACATGTCGTTAGGCAATGCTCTTGAGATCTCAAAGATATTAATTGAAAATGTAGACGACAATAAAGACAACCAACAATCATAATCAGATATTTGCTCTTAAGAGTGCCCTCTTAGGCAAAGTCAATTTTTGTCAAACTTATCAATTCTGTGATTTATAGCTCGTTAGATAAAGTAAAGTGTCTACTCTCGAATGCACTATAATTGATTGCTTTTATGATGAGCTTTAAGGATATTATATAGGTTTCTCTGAACCACCATACTGAAAAAAATAAGGTTTTTAAAAACTTATTTTCCGTTTTTCTTAAAATCCATTTTTTCGGGTATACTGTTTGCACAGGCAAACCTTACTCAATAATGACTCAATATACAAGTGACAATTTTTTTTTGCATAGAGAACTCTTAGGCTTAGGTCGTTATAGAGACCGATTTTTGAATTCCTCTATTGGTGAAATAAAAACCTTACATATTTTATTTTTATCAGCGATGTTTTTGGCCATGAATTCGAGAATTTTTCGGAAGAGGTCTTTTAAAAAACAAACAAAGAGAATTTCAAAAATCGGGCTCTGTAACGACCTAATCCTACGAGCACTCTACAATTTAAAAATCACCTCGAGACGCTTAGCACGTATCCTCATATTGAAAACCTTGCCGGCGTAAAGGGTATTTTTTACCAATGAATTGACTACAACCCATGAATATGTCGCAGATTTGGGGAGATATTTTAACCATAATCTACTCTAGCCAAGAGTAACATTTTCGGAAATTTTGGTTGAAATCGGACGAAAAATAACAAAATTGGTTTCTGAGAGGACCTCCTTAACCCATTAGATTTGCAAATTAGAAAACAACTGACTATGCATGCGTATATATATACTCATATGCATGAACTATTGTCATTTATGACTACAAATAAACATTCATTTGGTTTAGATGAAGCAGATTATATTTAACATTGATATATTTTTATTTTCTTTAAGATGTATTATTTAGTAGCGGAAAATTAAATTTTTATGCATGAAGTAGTACAATTAGTAGAAAAAGAAATCGATGCATTGGTAATGCGTTCATACATTTAACAAGAATAATAACAATAATTGTATTTAAAGGAATTTGATGCTTTTTTAATACCATTCAAAAACTCTTTTTTTTTCTATTATCAAATATTAAATAAGTCAATATTATATATCGAGAACTTGAGGGTGTGGGTGTGGGTGTGGGTGTGGGTGTGGGTGAGGCTCTGGGTGTGGGTATGGGTGGGTGTGGCTGTAGGTGTGGGTGTGAGTGGGTGTGGGTATGGGTGTGGGCGTGGGCGTGTGAGGGTGTGAGTACTTCTCAACAGCCCCACCCACACCCTCAGCCACACCCACACCCACACCCACCCACACCCACACTCCTAATGTTCAGTTGTAATAATTGCAATCACTTTTTGAAAGAGCATTGTCGGCAACATCACAATTAATATAAACTCAAAAAAGACTTCATTTTATCCATTGTGATGATCGTCATACTATTATATAACCTTCATGACTATTGGTTTCTTTCCACATTGATTATGATCATATCAAATATGAGAATTATTCATAATATACACCGTTTACGATCCTATGCAAACTTCATGTTCGTCGATCTAGATTTCAGTAATACGTCTTATGATTTTTGACTACAGATATTAGAATTTTTTAGAAGTTTTTATTAGGAAACTTATATATGTTGATTCTTAAATAGCATATTAACTATATACAAAATTATGGAAAATTGAACATTGGAACAAAGTGTTTTACTGTTTTTATATAATTGGACACATCAATTTAAGATTAGCGAGAATTACAAATAGAAAGCTCTACAATTTACCAAAGATTAATTATAAAAAGAAAACAAGGATTTGAGTTAAACGCATCATTTTTTAAATACATTAAAATAATTAATGAATGCAGTATAACAGACTGTTAAAAATGGTGTTGGTTTCATTAGTATAGATGGACTACTATGTTGATTCATAACTCGATAAAAATCTGTAGACAATTTTCGAGATTTAGATGCACATTGTAATAACCAATGATTATACCACTGCATAAATTGAAGCATTAAAGGTTCTCGTAGCGGAAGACTTTTGGTAGAACCAGAATCAACACCTCGTTCATAAATTTTAGTTTCACCATTTTTATCCGTTTCTATAACTTTTAATGTTGGTGTTTTCCAATCCGTTGTGGTCGAAAGAAGCCAACATTCTTCACTGATTGCTGAAGCACGACGATTGAAAATATGAGAAATATCTTTTAACTTATGACAATTCTCTTGAAATATTTTTGCTAATTCTCTTGCCTGTCTACATGCATGCGTCATACCTTGACCAAATTGAGGATTAAATGTACACATTGCATCACCTAATAATATATAATTTTGAGGCCATTTTTTACCTAATTGTTCGACACACTTTCGATCATCAATCGCACGACGATACGGAGCTAATGGACTACATACTTTTGTTGATTTGAATATCAAATAATATTCAAGATCGAGATGCTCTTTTATCCATTCTAATAAATTCTCATAGGAATCATTTGGTGGATATTCGGAATTAACACAAAAAGCTGTAAGTGTTGATAATGTTCCTAATGAATTTTCATCCATTGTTTTTATTTGACGCACTGGAGTTATACCACATCCTTTATTTTGATGAGGAGCATTAACTGTGTAACCAACTATTTGCTTTGAATCCAATGATGGATCTCCAGTTTTAAATCTCTCACCAATAAATGTAACATAACCAGCACCAAAATGTATTTGTATAGTCGGTATGATTAAATTAAAACTTTCTTTTAACCATTTACTTGATGATGTATTTCGACCACTACAATCAATAATAAAATTACCATATAAATCAATCGATGATGAATCAACATTATGCTTTTGTCGATATTTTATACCTTTAACAATATTTAATGATTGATCGACAATTAATTGTGTTACTCTTGAATTACATTTCCATTCAATTTGATTTCCATATTGCAAAAATAATTCTCTTCTTAAAACTGTATCTAGTGTAAAACGATCGATGCCCAACCACGAAAAATCTTCGATTAAATCTTGATTTAATAAGACACCAGCAGTAACGAATCTACATTCATTTTTTAATGAATAAGTACGAACACCATATTCATTTAATAATTTATCTTTTAGTTGAGGAAATAATTCTTGTATTATATTAAATCCTTCACCTTGAAGCACATGTATTTGATATATTTGACTAATACCTGAACGTCCTAATGATGTTGGACTTTCAAGATGACAACGATAATCTAATATTTCATTGGGTGTAGATTTCATGAATGTATCACTTAATACATCATCAGATTCGATAATTGTTATTTGTTTGAAATATTTCGATAAATAAGCAGCAGTTATCATTCCTCCAATACTACCTCCAATAATTATGGCATGATCATATTGAGAAATATTTGAAGAAGATTTCACTGATCTATTATGTTTTTTGTAAATTATAAATGAAATTATTCCCAAAATGATCAATATTACAAGCCAAAGCATTATTTAGTTTTTAAATAACAGATTAAGATTGAAAAATATTGTTCAGTAACGACTTGCGATAATTTATATGCTTACCGTTCGTTTCTACTATAGATAAGCAATATAATGACAGAATAAAGTTATCTAAAATACAAAAGTGCATAGATAAAGCGACTCTTTCTATGCAAGCGTAGATATATAATCGAAGTTTTTTCAAATGTGTAAAATCTAACATCTGAATTCAATTACTGAAGAGTTTATATAAAAAAAAAAGCTTATCTCTACATACAAAATATTTAGGAATTCAATTCTTAGAATATTCGGTATCGAGATAGACTTGAAATGGATGTTTTAAAATAACATTGATTGATCGGTAATATCGGTGCGAAACTTTGCTGCGAGTTCCAAGACGAGGACAATCAATAATTATTCCCATATCGTAGTATTTTTCTTCGAGATTAGTCAATCGAGATCATCTCAATGATCCGTAACACCTATTCCTTTCTTCGCTTAGTACTACGCTATTAATAATCCTGTGGAATGAAAAAATCATTCTTTCATAGTCGTAAATCACTAAAGGTAGAAAGAATTGAAATCAATGGCGCTCAAAACTTAGTCCCAACATATGAAAACACTATTTTAAGTTGAAGAAGGAAATAAGTAATTTTTCTAACGTATGAGTACTCGATACCTATTGTTTGTAATACTGATCACAGATCAATCACATCGCTCACTTTTCACACCTATGGTTGTCCTTAAGATAAGATCCACCACACCATCATCTTACCTCGACTCTGAAAATTTTTAAATTTTACCTTTCTCCACTCATTCGACAGATCTCAAGTCAGTGGTAAAATTATCAGCCTCTTTGATGAAGTCTATGAAGAGTTTCTGGTCGAATATTCATGAAATACTGCTCGAGACACTTTTTTTTTGACCTAAACTTGGAACACAATAAAAATAGTTAAATGAAATGAAATTTGCTTGCACCTAATACAAGTTAACTTATTATTATTTCTAACTTTGATCTTAAAAAGATTATTTACTGAAATTGTAAGTAGATGATCTCGATGTTGAGATAAAGTGTAAAAGAGCTAATTTTAAACGTTGATAATGTTTCTGTAACTTTACTTCTAAAATTGCATGGTCAAAAAATAAACTATCCTACCGCATAACTAATATAGCTGAGGTCTGGAAAGCGGGTTGTAGCATTATTTATCAATGCTTTTGGCGTATTTCTGGAAACATGTTCATTTTATACAAATCTTATCAATACATAATGCATTAACTATGGGTTGAAAAATAAAAACCTATCTTGTAGAATGGAATCGAATTACATTGACTACAGTAAGAAAAGAAGATCTATATGTATAATGTTCAGTGTGTGTGTTTCTCTGCCGGGTTAAAGGTTAAGATTTCTAACGTTTTCTAGAACGTTCGAAAATTATGTGAACGTTGGTAGAAGTTTCTAGAAGTTTAGTTAAGAACTTTATGCGCGGTTGAAAGCTAAAGATCAAATATTAAAGGTTAAAGGTCAAATAAGGCTATAAGGGGAAGACGCCAAGGGCTACTGGGGACTTATAGATCCTCATGGGCTATTATATGGGGGTATCCATAGATCCTCATCGCCTATTATGTGAAGGTACTTGTAGGTCCACAAGAGCTGTTATATGAGGGTACTCATAGGTACGCAAAGACTATTATATGAAAGTACTCATAGGTCCACAAGGGCTATTATATGAGGGTACCCATAAGCCCTCAAGAGCTATTATATAGTCGTACTCACAGGTCCTCAAGGGCTATAAGGGGGTCGGGGATAATGAAATAAGGCTACAGGAAAATGAGGCCATAAGCTGATAAGGGGATAAGGCTATAAAGAGATAAGGGTATAGCAGATAAGTAGATGAGGCTGCATGGGATGTAAGGGAATAACGGAATAAGGCTATAAGAAGTAATACCACAAGAATATAAGGCTACAAGGAGGTAAGGATATAAGGCAAGGGGGAAAAAACAAATTGTGAGTTTCGTGATTTAAAATGAGTTTAAAGCCGATTTAAATCAGCTTTAAAATCATTTTAAATCACAAAAACTCGTTTTAACTCAGAAAAATCACATAAACTCATTTTAAATCACGAAGCTCAAGTAAACTCATTTTAAATCACGAAACTCAAGTAAACTCATTTTAAATCACAAAACTCACATAAACTCTTTTTAAATCATAAAACTCAAGTAAACTCATTTTAAATCACAAAACTCACAGAAACTCATTTTAAATCATAAACTTATAGCTCGCTATTTTCCGATTTATAGCGAGTTACAAATGACTTAAAGTGATTTTTGTGATTTAAAATGAGTTAAAGTGAGTTTCGTGATTTAAAATGAGTTAAAATGATTTTCGTGATCTAAAATGAGTTTACTTGATTTTTGTGATTTAAAATGAGTTTACAGCTGATTTAAATCAGCTTTTTCCCCCTTGCTATAAGGTCTCTATATATATATAATGCGAACTATCTGATTGTCTATTACTGAATCAAGGCTAAAGGACAGATGTGAAACTTTACACCAAAAAAAAGAATCCGTGCAGTACGCACGGGCTCTTGCTAGTATATATATATTGATGCAAATGCAGGGCGTTGAGTATGAAAAAGGCAATAAAAAAAGATAAGACTACACAAATATACTTATTTTTACCATTACTTACAAAGCAACATTTCTTATCCTTTCTTCTCTTTCTCTTTCTCTTATATATATTTGTGTTGTTCTTTTTTTCTTTATCTTATATATATACTGGATGGTCCAAAAGTAACCTAACACGGACTTCTTTTCAATTTTATTTTCGTTATAGATCCATAGTTTGATCTCATATTTGGACCACATATACTAGATGACAATACTCAGAGAAAGAGCCTACTATCAGCCATTATTTGTAAGAATTTTGTCAGAAAACATAAGAATATCTTGCGTAGTCTCTTATATGACTGTCATATAAGTTTACTGTTGTCTGATTGAAGTAATGTCTCTTTTCATTATATCTCATTTTTGAGTAGTTGGCTGCGAAATAAGTTTGAAACAACGTAAAGATAAATAGAATTAAAATCATCTTGCACATTTTGATGCAAACAAACCAAAAGATAGAAACACAACACTACAAGAAAGGGTGTGGAGTATGGGTGAGAGTATTCCTTTTGTCTTTAATCACATACGCCCACAACCTCACACCCACACCCACATTTTCACATCCACATCCACACCTACACCCCACACCCACATATCGAATCGCAACAGTATCAGGAGTAAAACTATGTTCGTCATTGAATAGGCCATACGATGGAAGAATAATCATACGTTATTATATACTTAAATACAATTTAATTGCTATGTAGGTACACTACTTGAATATAAAGAAAAAAGAAAAAGAGTAACATTATGGTATATGAAATATTGTGATGTCAATAAACTACTATCAGAAGTAGAGCAAAACTTGACTTTGTCATCTGAATGAAGATTGAAATAGAATTCTAAATATTGTTTTTTATTCAAATATTGAATTGTATGTTTATTATTCTCTCATGGAGTCGGAACGTGCAACCTCTACGTGGTATGAGAGAGAAACTTAAAGATATCTTTAAGGCTAATGCGCGTACGCAGAAACTATCGGACAGCAGCGATAGTGGATCGCAACGAAGTACTCGGATTGCGCTGAAGAAGGAAATGGTAAACCACTTCAGTATTCTTAGCAAGAAAATTCAATGAACAGACAATCAACGACGTTTCAATTTATGGTGCTGGAAGATGAGACCGCCAGGTCGGAAGGCACCGAAAAGATGACTGGAGAAGAGCCAAGGTTGAGTACAATTAGTACTGTAAATAATGACGCTATTGAATCAAAGCCGAAAGGGAGTTCAATCGCTGAGCACTACAGATACAAGCGGAAAGACCAAAGCTTTTTAAAAACACATAAAATTGGTACATGGAATGTAAGAAGTATGAATCAAGGCAAGCTCGAAATAGTCAAACCAGAAATGGACCGAATCAAAATAGACATTCTTGGAATAAGCGAACTCAAATGGACAGGAACAAGTCATTTCACATCAGGCAGCTACGAAGTTTATTATTCTGGCAGCCAGAACATCAGAAAAAATGGAGTGGCCATGGTATTAAACAAGAAACTCGTCAATTCAGTAATCAGATATTATCCAAAAAATGATAGAATGATTTCTATTCGACTTCAAGGAAAACCAACGAACTTAACAATAATACAGATCTACGCACCAACTACAGAAGCAGAAGAATCAACAATCGATGAGTTCTACATGGATTTACAACAAATACTCGACGATGTTCCAAAGAAAAGATGCCATCCTGATAATTGGTGATTGGAATGCAAAGGTTCGCGAAACAACAGTACCTGGTATAGTTGGAAAATTTGGTTTGGGAAAACGCAATGAAGCAGGTGAGAGATTGCTTGATTTCTGCTAAGAAAATCATATGATCATC